TAACAGCATCAGCTTCAAGACATAATGAATAATCATATAAAACATTTTGTTAATAAATGGTTTAGAAGAAACAATAATACATTACGAAAATGAAAAGTAAACATAATTTTTCTTATTGATTTTTTCGTTAATATTTCTTTCAAGAAAAGGTATTTTTAGCTGAATTTCATTAGATTTTTTTAAATTCTCAGAGCCAATAATTTTCAGATCTTTGTATGTACAAATGAGTTCTCAACAACAAGTTGACCATTTACTTCGAGAATCAGACAAATGTAAAGTAGAGACATTACCAAGAAGACCCACTCAGTCAATTCCAAACAAAAAAAAGATGAGTAAAGAAGGGTTTGAAAAGAAAAAAAAAATGACTTGTGAAACAAAAGAAAAAGCATGTACTATGACAATTGACTCAAAAGATGAATGTGTTTCTCCAAGAAGACACCCTTTTTATGGAGGATCTCCTATGCCATGTATGATGATTGCAGAAGAATTGAACAAAAGAAATAAACGTGAACCTACCAAAAATGCTCTTATCAGAGAAAAATCAAAGGAAAAGTTAACTATGAAGAAATCTGAAACAACTGCCTCACAACACCAACTCCCTCCTCCTGTTGATGGCTTTAAAAAACCATCAGAAATAAAAAAAGCAACATCTCCTAAAACTACATCTACACAACACCCTCTTAAACCTTCACCTTATAATCAAAATAACCAACCTCAAAGACCAGTTTCAATGTATTGCAAACCTCCTGGAAATGAATTAAAACGAGAGCGATCAGGAGCAAAACTAATGGCAGAACAAATAACACAAACACCAGCATTTAAAAGCAAACCCATTGTTTCAGAGCACACTAAACCAAACCCAATCCTTCCTACACCAAAACAAATAAACTCCAATACTTCAGAACAAAAACCAAAGTGTGAGACAGAAAATGCTCCAATTATTTCAACAACCAAATCACCAAAAAAAAATAAGTCACTACCACAACCACCTATGGAAGTACTAGAAATTGAAGAAAAAACTAATTCTAAAGATCCTCAAAAAAAACCAAAACCATCTCTTCCTTCAAGAAAACAAAACCTCCCTCCAAAGAAGGAAAGTATAACAACAAAACCTCCTTCAACGAATGAACATAAACCAAAAGTTCCAGAAAAAAAAGAAGAACCTATTACAGATTTTAGAAGTGTTTTGTTTAATGGAGGAAAATCATTAAAAGAAGGAGAAAAGAAAGAAGAAAGCAAATCTCAACTTCTTGAAAAAAAACAGAGTCACATTGAACCAATTAAAACAACTACTCAAAAACATGAAAGACAATCCCTTCCTTCAAACCCAGAAAAGAAAGAACGGCACAAACCAACTCTTCCAGCACGTAATACTCCTTCAATCGCTCAGCCATCTAAACCTTCAACACAACCAAAAAAGAGTTGTTTGGATACTTCAAAACAAGAAAAGGAAGATAAGCCAACACCACCACCACCAAAGAAAGATAGTATAAAACCAAAAGTTCCAGAAAAAAAAGAAGAGCCTATTACAGATTTTAGAAGTGTTTTGTTCAATGGAGGAAAATCATTAAAAGAAGGAGAAAAGAAAGAAGAAACAAAAGAAATAACATCTACCAAACCAATAACACCTCCTAAAAATAAAATTGTTGGATCACCAACTCAATCACCACAACCAAAACATTCAACAAAACCACCACTCCCAAAGAAAGAATTTAAAAAAGAAGAAGAGCCAATCACTGATTTTAGAAGTGTTTTATTTAATGGGGGAAAATCATTAATGCATGATAATTAACAAGAATTGTTTATCTTTTTTTTTCTTTTAAATTTTCTATTATAAATAATTTATAAAATGATAAAACAACCAATTATTACTTTCCACTTAATTTTTGAGCCTGTTGTTCATTCTCTCTGGTTTGCATATCCAAATTATATTTTGAAACAATGAAAGCATCAATAATTTTATGGAACTCTGCCATATCTCCAGCAAGTTCTTCTTCAAAACTTGCTTGTTTAATTCCAATAATATTAACAATAACTTTCATTCGTTTAATAACTGATTTAAGCATATTTACTTCTTTTACTTGTAAATTGTTGGAAATAGTATTAATCCTTGCAATTTTCTTTTCTAAATCATTAGCTCTATCAACACTTAAGAAATATTCTTTAGCATTAATTAATTTTTGACTTTCTTTACTCATGTCAAGTAATGTTTTCTTTATAGCAATTTTCTTATATAATTCATTTAAAATTTTATTAATTCTTTCTTTCTTCATTCTCATTTCAACTCGTTGAACTTTAAATTGTTGTTGTCTAACTTTTTGATAATTAAGTAATCTATTTTCAAGCACTTTAATTTTAATTAATAATTCTTTTTTATGTCCATTAACAATAATTAGTCTTTGTTTTAGTTTTTCACTAGTATTTGTTCTCATAGCATTTTTAATTCTAATAATTCTATTAAACACTCTTTGTAATTCTTTAACATTATCAGATAATCGTTTAAAAGCTTTCTTTTCTGCTTTAATTCGTTTATTTTCATAATATTGTTTTTCTTCTGCTTTAAAAGTACTTACAACAACATCTTTTTTTCTTCTAATTTCAGCTAATTTTCTTTTTATTTCAATAACTTTTTCTTTTGCTTCATTAACAAGATTTTTTTGTTCACGAATAATTCCTTGACTAACCTTCTTTGTTTTTGATTGATTTAATTTACCTTTCATTTGTTTTAATTCATAACGTGCATCTTTTATTTGTTGAAGAAGATTTGATCTATCTTGTTTGAGTTGATTAAGTTTAGAGTAAAATTCTTGTTTAGCTGCTGAAAGTTTAGGTGAATCAACAAAGAGTTCTTCTTCTCTTTCAATTACATCTTTTACACTTTCACCTAAAAATGAAATACGTTCTTTAAATTGTTCCATTTGACTTTGTAATTTAGGAAGATGTTGTTTTGTTGCATTTTGCATTTGTTCTTTTAATACAACAACTTTACTTTCAAGAATACTTTTTTGTTGAGCAAAACGTTTTTTATCTGATGCTAATTGATTTGCTTCTTTAAGTAATTTTTTCTTTTGAGCTAATAAACGTTTTGTATTATCATTTTCTCTTCTAATCTTTTCTTCTACTCTAAACATTCGATGTTTTAATCTGAAGAGTTGATTCATAATTCTTCGTTGATTTTTCTTCATTAATTTTAATATACCTTCAGCTTTAGTGTATTTCTCTTTCATTGATAGAAGTATATTTTCATATGAAACTTTCTTTTTTCTTAATTGTGAAATAATGGTTTGACTTACTCTTTTATCAGGTTCACTAGCAGCTTTTTGTGCTTTATTTTTTAATTTATATATTTGATTTGCCATTTGTTTTAAATTTATTTTAGCTTTCTTTGTTTCTTTTTCTGCAACACGTAATTCAACTACTTGTTCTTTCATTTTATTTATTTCATTGGCCATCATTTGTTTCTTTTTATTTAATTCATTTTGTAAGTTATTCATTCGATTCTTTAATTCAGCAATTCGTTTCCCATGTTTACTTTTTACTTCTGTCATTTTTTCTGTAATTTGTTTGATGTAAGAGTGATACTGTTTATCATTATTACTAACTGTCTCAATTCCATTTGAAACTACAAATACTAAAAGTATTAAGACCAACTTCATAATATTATAATTTTTTAGTTTCTTTTATTTTTTATTTTTTTTTTTTTTTTTTGACTTTTGTTTCTTTTTCATTATCTTTTTCTTCTTTTCCCTTCGTTTTTCTTGTATATTATTTCTCTTAGTAATTTTCTTTTATTAAAATAACAAAAAATTTTAATATTTTGTTTTTCAAAAAAAACTTAAAAATTCATTTGATGCAACAACCACCTCAAACTGGAACGAAATTTGCGACAGAAAAAGATGTTAAACAAGCACTTGATTGTATTGATAAACAACAGTTACTTAGTGCTATAGAAGAAGTAAAAGTTTGTATTCTAAATAATCTTGGTATTAATATTACTCAAATACTGATTAATAGAAACTTGTTCAAACTGATCGTAAAAAAGCAAAAACAATTCTTTCAGAAAATCCATCATTAGCCTATGGGATTCTTGAAGCTTTACATACAATGCAAATGATTGATAAACAAACCTATGACGCACTAACTGGGAATAATCAATGAATGTTTTTCTTAAATTAATCTTTTATTTTATTTTTTTTTTAATAAGAAAAGTCAAAAATTATGAGACATCTTTTGTTGAAAAAAGAATATTACTCTTTTAAACAGAAAAGATTCAATCTCATTATGAAATTGACAAAGCTAAAGTAAAAGATAGTACTACTTAAACATTCTATGAACAAAAAGAAATCATTCATTAGTTATGTTCATTATTATAATCCTTCTTTGTTTTAATGCCATGGGAAAAGAAAGTTTTATCTTTACTGATGGTAAAATGAATGATGGATGGCATATTGATACTGAATACTTGTCGCCTACATTAGTTTTTATTAATGACACTAGTTATTACAAAGGAAATATTAAAAAAAATGTTCAATTTATTAATGAAAAACCAATAAATACTCAATTAAAAACTATTCAATTTGTCTTGTACTATGAAAGTACAAATACAAGTGAAGTACCAATTATAATTACTGTTAAAGGTAATACTTTAAAAACTGGTAGACGTACACACACTTCACAAATTAAAGTAATTCCAAATACTGAAAATAATGTAGTTGTTCCAATTACTAGTTCATCTATTCAAAATATAACAATTTCAGTAAATGAAGATGTAGCTAAGGGGGATTTTGTTGCTTATGTTGGAGATGTTAAATTATCAGATTCAACTACCTATGTTCCTGTTAGGCTTGCAGAAGCATCAGTATCAACCCAAAGTGATAATGGTCAATTAATTATTTTCAATCCAATTGAATGGAAGTGTGACAATGGAATATCAGGTATACTTGTTTTATCCATTTTTACAATTTTGATGGTTCTTCTTTAAATAATTGAAATTTTCTTTTTATTTGAAAATAAATTTTTTACAAGGATAAAAAAAAAAAAAAAGAAAAAATATACGAACAATACGATTAGAGAACAAAGATGTCCGTGTTTTTTAGAAGAGAGAACATCCACCACTCTTCTTCTTTGGTTTAGTTTGGTTCATAGCATTAATTCTTTTAATAAGAGTAGTGAAAATGTCTGAAATCCTAATTTCAGCTTTAGCAGAAACTTCAAGGAACTCAGCTCCATATTTATCTGCAAGAGCTTTTCCATCATCTTGTGAAACAATTCTTTGACTCTCAAGATCACATTTGTTACCAACAACAATAATTGGAACATTTTCTGTATCTCTAACTCTAACAATTTGGTCATGAATTGGATCAAGATCATTATAAGTAGATTGTGCAATAATGGAATAAACAAGAACAAATCCTTGTCCAGTTTTCATATATAAATCTCTCATAGCAGTAAATTGTTCAGTACCGGCAGTATCTAAAATTTCAAGGACATATTGTTGTCCATCCAAATCTAATTGTTTACGATAAGAATCTTCAATTGTTGGATCATATTTAACTAAGAAAATGCCTTGTACAAATCTAACTGTAATTGATGACTTTCCAACAGCACCACTTCCTAATACTACAATTTTGTAGTCTTTCACTGGCATCCCAAAGAATGATTTGATTTTTCAGTTCTTTAAACTATTTAAATATTTATTTTTAACTTGACTTTTAATTGCAACCTACTTTAATTTTATTTTTAAATTATTTTTTTTTCTTTTTTTTTCTTTATTTCTTTTTCTTTTTGGTTACCACGTGATTTTGTCGTGTTTTCATTATATCAATTATTTCTTTTTTAAAAAGACTTTTTTGTCTGTTTTTGTCTAAGTCAAATTTGAAAAAAAAGAATAAATTAGAAAACCCTTAATTTTATTTTTACTTTTTTATTGTTTTGTTTCCCTGGTTTTTTGTATGAAATCTAATGAATTTTAGAGAAAAACCATTTTGGAGTTTTTTCAGAATTAACAATCACTTTTTTAGTTTTCGTTTTTCAAGACAATGGTAATTCAGAAAAATAACAATAATAAATAACAAAAAAGAATAATATGATTAAAAAAGAATAAACGACTTGAAAGTAGAAAGAACTAAAAAAAGGAACTCTAAAGGGTTTGAGAAGTGAAAATGGCTGAATCAACCACAACTAATCCACGAGTATTAAAATATAGAGCTGCTAATAAGGCACGAAAAGAAGCCAAATCTAGTAAAGTTGGAAATAAGAAACCAAGTAAAGAAATTAAAACAAAAGAAATGGCACCAATTACTCGTGAAATGACTATTCATATGCATAAATATCTTCATAAAGAATCATTTAAGAAGAGAGCACCAAAAGCCATTAAAATTATTAGATTCCTTGCAATTAAAACTATGAAAACACATAATGTTAAATTTGATATGGGATTAAATCAATTTATTTGGAGTCAAGGTATTAGATCAGTTGCTGATAGAATTAGAGTTAGAATGGCAAGACTTCCAATGGAAGGTGAAGAAGGTAAATTTTATACTCTCGTTTCATACGTCCCAGTAGCTAGTTTTAAAGGACTTGTTACAAAAACAGTAGAAGAAACAGAAAATTAAGTGAAATGTTTTAGGACTTTTAAACAACAATTTCTTTAAATTTAAAGAAAATAAAAAGAAAAAAAAGAAAATAATTTAAATTAAATGAGAGAAGCAAATTGAGCTAATACTGTTTTAGGGACTAAAGTATTTTCAATTCCATCTAATCCATGACGATCAATACAAGAAGTATTATTAATAATTAAATTTTCTAAATGAGTAGGTAATTCAATTGTAATTTTTTCATCAAAACGAGCTTCATTAATAAATAAATCAGAAAGATAATTTAATGAACGAAGTTTAATAATTTTACTATTTCCAACATGAGCAATAAAATTATTTCCTTGAATTTCAATTTTAAAAGGAAAATACTCTTTTAATAATTTTGAAAATTGAGTATCAAATACCATTTGGTTAGAAACTTGAAGATAATAATCTGTATAAAATAATAATATAACTCCTTTCTTTAAATAAATATCATGGAATTTACCTAATCCATTTGTAAAAATACCAACATTTATTACATTAGATACTTGTTGTATTATTGGAATATCTTCATCTCTTAACCAATTTAATCTAAATATAATTGTTGTACGTTCTGAATTCATTCCTTTTACTAATGACCATAAATATTCAAGATGTTGTGTATCACAATCAATAATTACTTTATGTAAATGTCTTAATTTCTTTAGTCCTGTTATAAAATTTGTTATTATTTCTTTTGAAAGTTGTTTTGTTACTCTAATTCTTATTTCTCTTAAATTAATTAATGTAGTTATATCTAAATTCTCTTTAAATGAAAGATCAATTCTATAACTAACTATTTTCTCCTTAATTCCATTTAAATTTTTATATTTATTAGTACTTGGTTGATTTAAAAAGAATGGTATCTCAAATAATTTATATCTTTCTACTACTTTATTTAATATTATCCTTTCTGAATTTATTCAATTAAAACAAACATTTATTTAATTCTATTTTCTCTAATGAATTGATGTCAATATGAAGTGTTTCTAATCCTCCAAATATTTTCATTTCTTTATTTAAATTATTAAGTCGTGAGTCTAATAACATAGTTTCTAATGACCTTTCTTTATAACATGGATTAATTTTTGTTCTTCCAATAGCGTCATCACAACTATGACACACTTGATGAAAATTAAATAATGTATGAAGTGAATCTAAATATTGAATCACTGACATTAAATATACTGTCTCTAACTTTGTTGGTGTTTTTTCCTATTAAAATGAGAATATCTTCTTTCTTCCTTTTTTGTTCTTCAAACAAACCATTTAAATCTTTTTTATGTCGATCTCATTTTCTATTTTCTCTCTTTTCTTATTTGTTTTCTCTTTTACAATCTCATTCCTTTCTCTTTTTTTTTTTTAATTTTTTTTAATTTTTATTCCTATTCAAAAATAATAACAATTTGTGTTAAATATTGATATTTTTCTTTTTTAAAAAACATTACAAAAATTAAATGTTATTTCTAAACTTATTCTTTTCAATGTATTTTCTATGTAAAAGAAGAAGTTTTATATTTATCATCATCATTTTTTATATAATTCTTACATTTGTCACTTATTTAACTTCATTATTACTCTATTTCTAATTCTAAGAGAAATAACAAAAAAAAAACCTAATTTTTATGAATTTCTAAAGTTCATTAATTTTATGGTTGTTGAATGTTTTTTTTTAAATAAGTTTCAAAATAAGAACTAATAATTAAAAGTTGTTCAAATGTTACAACCAAATTTCATTGTTACTTGGATTTGTGGTATTTTATTATCAGGAGTAGAACTTGTTATTGTATTGTTTCATTGTCTTTGTATTGTAGATATTCAAACTGATCAATTATCTCCAGTAGATTTTTGTAAAAGAGTTAATCCGTTTGTTTAAGTTATTATTTCTGTTTGATTCTTTTAATGGATTTATTAGTTAATTTACTCACATAATTTAGTCTTCTTGTCCCAGAAGTTATCATACAACTTATTTTAACCCTCATTTATATTCCACAATTTTTTATCTTTGAACTTCTTTTCACTATTCCATTATTGTCATTAGATATTTATCATTTCTTTAATGCTTCATTTAAGTATAACCCTGTGACTGTTTTTACAAATATTCATAGAAAAGAAGTGATTGGTTATTTAAAAATTTGTTATTATCTCCTTTTTATCTTCATTTCTATTGGAAGAATTCTTTTCCACGTTATTACTTCTGAATAGCAAAAAAGAAATTGATTATTTTGATTTGATTTCTTTTGGTTTTAATATAATTTATTTTCACATTTGTATTTATTAGAGTATTTCTACTTTCTTCTTATAATATTATTTACTTAACGAAACTTAAACAAAAGCTGAATTTACTAAAAACGTTAATAATTTATCGTAATAGAACCACAAAAGTAAATAACATAACTTCTTTATAATTGTCTCTTTTTCTTGATTGAATTTTCTCTATCAAATGTATGTACAATAATACTTGAATTTTATTTTATTTTTTTGCTTTAGAAAAGGAGAGTTTATATGTTAAGGTACATGCCTTACAAAGTATCTTTTTCTTTAATGGAAGAATAATGGTTGAACATCCTTTTAATTAGTGCATTTGAAGGAGTTAACATTGGACTACTCATAACACGGTTTGTTTTGAAAATTGAATTGAGTATACTTGGTTGTATGTTCTTTAAAAGTGAAAATTTTCACAGTATATCATTTGTTAATGGAATAATTCTTAAATTAACTAACTAAAAACTTTTGTTAATTTTTTTCTTCAGTTTTTAGAAGAAGCATTTGATAAAAGCATAGATAATTCCTCCAATGCTTAAACAAAATATCCAAAGAAATGAACATATCCAAAATTCTATTCCTATAGAATTGGTTTCTATAAATACAGCAATTGGAGGACAAAATATACATAAACAAAATAGCATCAATTTGTTGTATACCATAAATAATTTTAAGAAATGGATTATGAGTTGATAGATTGAAATTAAAAAAAAAATTTTAAAGGTCATTTCATCATTATAATATGATTAGATTCTATCATATCTTAAAATCTTCAGATCAATTCTTATAAATGAGTAGTACAGTTTTTGAAATTATTCATTCTACAACGTGTTTATCTACAACAAAATGTAAAATGATATCTTCATTAAAAAATACATTAAACCAGCTTGAATATACACAATTATATCATTATTACCTAAACCAAGAGAATGAAATGGTTCATAATGAATTACTTCATTTTTTTATCAATAACTTCAATACTAATTGTCTAATTTTAATAAAACAAGAAACTGATTTGAAGATAGAGTCAGACAAATGTGTTTTACTTCTTCTTCAAATTGTGTTGAAAGAACCATCTTTAGTTTTATGTCAGTCTTCTCTTTTTTCAATTAATGATTTATTCCAAGTTTGTTCAAGACATTTATTAACAAAATCATTAGTTGATTTAATAATCCAATTTATTACTCTTCTTCAATCGAATAAATTTTTGTTAAATAAAGTTTCTATAGACGAATTATCTTTTCATAGTATGATTAAAAGTCTTTATTTATTATTATTAGATTCTTTGGATTATTCTGTTTTTATTTTATTTAATCAATACCTTTTATTATCACCTGTAGAATTAATAGCATCATTATTTAATCATTATAATATTGATCATTTAATTCAATCTACTTTATTATCAAAAATATCAGACCAATGTATCCAATTCCTTCGTATATTAGTTACTACATTATCAAATGACTTTTTAGAGAAATACTTTTCTCGTTCTCCATTATGTGATTATTTGATTGAATCTTTTTTTGAAAATCCAAATAATGAAGTTTTAATTACTTTATTAACTTATACCCAATTATCATCTTCTATTGCATTTCAAATATTAAAATCTTTACCTCCTTTCTATCACTGTATTTTATTATTGCCTCATCTTATTCATTATATTCCTAAATCCGCTGTTATTGAGTACTTTCAACAAGTTATTTTTCATCTTGATGGGCAAACATTAGACAACAAGTTTATTGAAATTCTTCTCTCTTTTAATGAAGAATCTTTATTAGATATTTCTTCTATTATTCCACAAATTATTAAATATATTGAAGATAATGATTTAGAGCAAATAGAACAAATCCTTAAATTAATTCACCTAATAACATTACCACAATATTATTTATCTTTTTTGATAAGTGGTGGTTTACACGTATTGTTAGATTATGGTTGTGTTGATCAGTTATATTCATTACTCAAATGCTCATTATTTGATTTTATTCCAACTTTTCTTTTAAATAAAAATGATATTCCTAGTTCATTCCAACAACTTCAGTTATCTATAGACACTACTCCATCATTAGCAATTCTTTGGTTATCTTTATTGTCTGAACCACTTTTTTCTATTGACTTTATTTCCACTATCCAACCACAAGATTCTATTGGTTCTGAATTATTATTATCAATTCAATTACATTTGAAAAGTAATTGTACTCAACAATTTCCTTCTATTCTATTTGGTGATACTCCTTTTACAGGAACTTTATCATATCCATTTCTTGATGTTCTTCTTTCAGAAGAAAATGAATTTCTCATTCAACAAAATAAAGAACTTATTATTGTTTCAATTCAAGGAATATTAGATGATCCCTCCTTTACTTTTCTTTCGTTTAAAGAGAAGCAAGAATTTGAAATAAAAGTTGAATGGGTAAATTTCATATTAAGTAAATAACATATTCGGTATTTTTTGAAATACTTTAAAATGATTAAAAAAAAGAATTATTTTTTGTTAAAAATCAGAAAGAATAAACAAAATTAAATTAACCCAACACTTGAAAGAGTTGGTAATTGTTGAGTAGTATTATTTTCAAATGGTTCAAAAGAAACTTGCCAATTGTTATAAGGAATAAAAGTAATGACATCAACTACCTCATTAGTGAAAGTATAATTATTATTAAAGGATATTTCTTGACTATCAAAAGAAACAACACTAATGTTTTCATTTTTTATAATTTCTTCTTTGTTGCCTTCCGTTTTAAAACTACTAATATCTAAAGAAGGACTAATTGAAGAGTTACATTGTTTTTCAATTATTTTGTTGTTTTCTTTTTTAGTTTGAGATAATAATATTTTATCAGGGGTAATAATCTTACAAATATATTGAGTAATATCATTTGATCTATCACCAAATGTTCTGAAACAAATTCCAAGCTTATTATAATCGAAAAAAATAGGTTCTTCACGTTTAATATCTGCTTGATCAAAAATATCTCTAATTTTATGATTAATCATTTTTCCAAGTTGAGAAATTGAAGAAGTATCTTCTAGACATATTCCATTTCCTACTAAACTAGAAACACGATTCATTTTAACAATAATACTTGTTGATCTTGTTTTTTTAAACTTAATAGAATATCCTAAATGTCTCAATAAATCAGTAAGGAAGTTATTAGTTGAGGAAATGACATTTCTTTTTTCATATTTTTTTCTATCTTTCTTTTCTGGAGAAATTTGTTTCTCTTCATTAATTATAATTTGATCAGTAATATAATTAAATAACACTTCATAGTCACCAAAATGTATTGTTTGAATTGTAAAAAATAATGCTTCTGGATCATTTTCTGTTCCAGTATGTGTTTTTCTTGGTTTTAATAAAGTAAATTTAACACCATGAGACATTAATAAAGAAATACATAATGCTTCTTGCTCTCCTTCAAATGAAGTTGAAATTCTTTTGGCAATTGTAAGTTTCTTTGGTTCCTTTGAAGCTTTGACTGAATGTTTCATATTAACTATTATAATTAGTTCAAAAAACTTCATTTTAAATGAAGTTTATATTTTTAGTTCTTAGGAAAGAATAACGTCATTTTTTTTTTATTAACACTTCAAAAAAACTTTTTCCCCTTTTTTTTTTCATTCATTACTATTTTTATCTTTTGCAAAATATTAGGTTCGAAGATGGCATATCAGAAATACCAAATATTAATACAAAATCAAATAATGAAATATCAATTATTAACTGATTATGATGAAGTATTTTAATAAGAAATAAAATAAATAATAATAGAAAGAATGAAGTAATGTATTATGAAAGAATAATAACAAAAGAAAATGATATAAATGATGGTATTAATAATAAATGAAATTATATATAATAC